GTCTATAATATAAAAGCGATGCACCAAGAAGGAGTTATCTGAATAGGACAAAATTGCATATACGCGTACTTTACAATAGAATATGCAAATGATTAACTTTTGGCAGCCAGTGACTAATTAGCTAAAGCTCTAGTGCATTACAACACAGCATTTAGATGGTGTCAAATAGAGGACATTCCAATGCTAAGCCATAATTTCAGTGCAAATGTGATTCCATTTACATGCATGAACTGTAACAATGCCTTGCAGAATGATTCACAAATAGTATGAGCAGATGTCACCATATGAGAGAGAGGACTTGCAATTGAACTAGCAGTGTGGTCAAATTGCAGGGTTCCTAGACATTTGGGTTAGAATGGTGCTTCTATTCACCGATGTTGGCAGGAATGAGTGAACCATGGCTGTACAGAGCATCAAGAAGATAACAGTTGATCAGAGCAGCAGCAGAATGATCATCTAAGCAGTGTTTACAGCTTCTAATGCATGCTTATCAATGATTCAATGTGTACCTGGGATACAGTGACGACAGTGTCCATTGTTAGGTAATTCAGCAAACAGAGGCTGAAGACAAGCTCACAGGCCATCGAGTCAACTGCTCCTCACAGTTGCCCACTGACATGTTTGCAGAGGGTTGGGCACGTTCAACCTAGGATCTTGTGGACTAGAGTAGAACTGTTTTCAAGTCCCACTTTGAATTGAGCATCAGTGATTAGTGAAGATCTGTCTGGAAACATCAAGGATAGTGGAGGGATACTCACTGGACTAGCATTTGCTGCACAGCCCGACAGGCAGGAGTTATAGCATGGGCTGCCATTTCATTTAATACCGGACACCTTTGGTTGTCATCTATGACTTTTTTGCAGCAGAGGGGTGTCTCGATGCGATTCTACTCCCCATAGTGTTCTCCTAAGTATCATGGACTCTTGAGCGTGCATTTCACCAGGATAATGCTTGGCTGCACATAACATTCCTTTTTGCTGGTTGTCTACTGTCTGTCTATCTTAAGAACAGATCTCGCCAGTTTGTCTGCAGCTGTCTGTTGCCGTAGAAACAAGCCCTGACCCATTTTTTGTAAGGGTGTCTTGAAGATTTACTTCTCAGTTTGCCACCTTGGCGCATTTAAAGATGATTTGGCGATATTCACATTTTGTTTTAGTTTCAAGTAAAATGCTTTGTTGTCGACCCCAACATGCAATTTCCGAAAATGAAAATTCGATGCCGTAGATAAACTTTTTGCAACCAAGAAATGGTCTTTGATTTTGCCGTGGGAGGTACAAGTCACTGAATTTGCCATCCCTCTAGATATACAATGAGTAAAAATATATCAAAATAACTTGTAGGGAAATAAATTTAAAAATCTGTGCTTATTTTTGAAGAAAAAATTTAATTTTTACATTAAAAAAAAGAATGCTAATATTTTGCTTCTCTTTTGTTTTATTTGCTTGCTTGCAAAATCACAGATGACCTCTTAGAAATCTCCTTGATTGCCCCATTCTCCATAATATAGTATAGACACACTTCATAAATGTAAAATAAATTAAATTTTTATAGTTCTTCCCTCTAAGCTAATCTACTGTGAACATTTAAAGCAATTTCTTCAGTTTTTAAATGATGTTCTGCTATGTTTTTATTTCAAAATTTTGTGTTAATTTATTGCTTGTGCTTTAATAATGACTAAAAATTTCATCATTAAATGTATATGGAATCATCTGAAAGTAAAAGCATGTGTATTTACATACCCTATGCTCTCAATAAATACTTTTTGCGAACATTTCTTCCTTTCCCGTCTTTTTTCCCCATACTTTTTCCATGCAACTAAACCAAAAGCTTGTCAATTTAATAGTGAAAGGAAGCAGGAAAGGTGAATTAAAATCAAAACTGCTTTTACTTAATTACCCGTGGTTTGGTTTGTCTGTTTGGCTTATATGATTATGGAAAGCCTTCAGAGTTAAATGCCTAAGAGGAGGGATGCCTTTGTGGAGGGCTTCCTAAGGGAAACTGGCTTGTATATGTTACACTTGGAGAAAAGTACGAAAACGCCCATGCAGCCAGCCCGTTCATGGGACTCAAACCTCAGACCAAACTCCCAGTGCTCAGTAACTTTACCGCTCAGCCGTTGGTGGGCCTCTTAATTACCAGCACCCATTTATGCATTATGCTGCTTTTTATAGACACTGTAATAGCAAGTAACATGACAAAATGTTAAAATCAGAACAAAATTAAGGTCTCTTAAATTACAGTTACCTATTTTATATTTAAAATTATACAAAATGTATATAATTATACAAAATCTGGCTTTTATAACTGCAGTGAGCTTTGTTGCATTAACATAATTTAGTAAAAACTTATTTAACTTTCATTAAAGATTAAAAATTATTTTTTAAGCAAAGTATACCATGGCTTGTGGGTCCCCAAGAACACAGTAATGGGAAATGAAGCAACCATACAGTGTTCTTTGTTATCCACAAGGGGGGTTTCGCCTCTGCCAAAAGCTCATTGTTCCCCATTTTTGGTAGTCTTTCATTTATATTGTGGCAAAGGAAATACTGAATCTAGAAATAGAAATAAACTCATAACTTGAGAGAGCTATCAGATGAAGAAGGAAGGCCCACCAGCGGCCGAGCGGTAAAGTCGCTGAACACTGGTAGTTCGGTTCGAGGTTCGAATCCCGCGAACGGGCTGGCTGCATGGGTGTTTTCGTGGTTTTTCCCCATGTGTAACGTGTATATGAGCCAGTTTTCCTTAGAAAGTCCTCCACAAAGGCATCCCTCCCCTTAGGCAGATAGCCCTAGTGTGCTTTGCCATAATTAAATACACCACCAGATGAAGAAGGAGTATGCCTCCGTGAGGACTTTTATAGAGGTATAACATCTGAAAAGTCGTCTGAATCACTGTCACAAGATTCTGTTTCTTCTGAATCAGAAATGGAATCGCTGCTGCCAGTTTGAATTATTAATTCTTCCACTATCTCTTCTTGAAGTTTGTTTTGTCCCAATAAGAATTTTCCAAGTTTTTCCACATGGTTGCAGTGCGCCTGACATTCTTCAGAAGTGACTTCATCCAAAGCTTTTTGTGTTAAATTTTTCAAATTTTCCAAGCTTAAGTCCGCCAGTCACATTCCATTCCCTAATCAATCTTTTAACTGATGACCAAACATACTCATTTGCATTTAGATCACAGTAGTATGGAGGAAGATGCACAATATGATGCCCATTTTCTTTTATGATGTGTATCTTATAGGTTATTTTTTTTTAGGATAATTGCATTCTATTAAGTTAAACAGTTCCGCTTTTCACATTTTGGGATCACAGTATATCGTCGTCTTCATCAGCCAATTTACCATTGTTTGCTTTGTAGCGTATTTCATGGGTGTTGGATCTTCAATTTTTGTGTGATACGGGGCATTATCCATGCATACCACACTTTGGGGTCGTAAATTTGGAAGAAGCTTTTCCAACACCCATTTTTCAGAATTTCCATAGCTCATTTGCCCATGGTAATCCTTGCTTTGAGCTGATGCTTTATATACAAGTTGAGCACCTTGAATAAATCCTATGGAAGAACCAGCGTTGACAACAATCAGTCTATTTTTTTAACTGACATTTATTTGTATGCCCAAAACCATATCATGCTGCCAACATTTTTTAAAAGTTAAATTGCTGTCAATCCAGGTTTCATCGATGTAAAAGATGTGGCGTTCGCTTGCCCTGAGTTTCCTCATTTTGCGTAAATAATTGTTCCTCCAAAATACAGTGCGAGGTCTTTCGATAAGAATTTTTCTTTTGTTAATGCATTTCTTCCAGCGAAAATTCATTGAACGCAAAACTTTGCGCAGAGTCTTTTTGCCACAGGAAGTCTATTTTTTGCCTCGACAGGCGGTAATTTCCGCACAGATGGCACTTTCTTTTCTTTAATGTAAAAGTCTTGTATTGTCTGCCATATAATGCATTTGTCAAAATCGTCAATTTCGCACTTATTATCAGCAGGGCTTTTAAGTTTCTTTCCAGGTGTATTTAGAAGTTTATATTCACCCATTGTTGATACTTTGTGATTAATTTTTTTAATTGTATACTCTGATACTCCAGTAGCTTGCGATGTTCACTTCAAAACTTGAGGAAGAGGAACTACTAAAGAGTTCACCGAAGCTTCAGAAGCGCAAAATTCTGCGACATTGTATACGATTTGACCTGCCTGAGACTTTAAAGGTTTCACTTAAAATGGAAGGGCATTTTAAAAAATTGCCGATTAGTAAAGCACTACGAAATCAAGCTAAGTAGAAGCAAATCTGAAGAAATACCAGTACAAAAAATATAACAACGAGAATAAAAATAGCTAATGGTAATAATATGTTCCCCTCAGCCAACAATTGCCGAAAACAAAATAACAATAAAGCAAGCCTTGGTTCATCCCTATTTGAAATATACTAGCCCTGTTGCTATAGCGACGGCAGGAGCTGTTCTTGCCGTAGACAGACAGTTACATGCTTCTTTAACACTTCCCTGCTCAACATGATTGCCTATAACACATTTGGGCTCTGATGAGCAGGCATCTCTGACCATATGGGATCTTGCTGATCTAACTCGCCACATATGGCAAGTAATCTCTCAAGAGAACATACGCCAGCTTTATGAACTCAGCTGAATGACAGCCTGCATCGGGCTAATGCATTATTTATTTTTCCTGAATCCTATGATTGTTATTATTATTTTTTCCAGTACATGTATGTCACATATACTGAATTTCATCCCATTTGTTTAATTCCTGCTTGATGTATTGCTTTTTATACTAGTGTATTTCACTTTTTAGTTTCATTTTTATCCACACAATTAGTCTACTGACTTTTTTCTTTTTTTAAATTGTCTGTTAAATGCACGAATATACAGCATATTTATGACTTTTGCCTATGCTATAACTATAGAGCACAATATGTTTGACAATTTTTATGACAAACACTATATCTTTCTAAATTATTGAACTACTGATTATTTTTCCTTACTTAGAAAAGAGCAGAGGTATAACTAAGGAGGCAGAATGCAGTGGAACTCAAGCAGGTTATTCCAATTTTCAAGGTACTTTACTTACTACGTATTACAAAATTTTCATGATGCTTTTTCTTATAGGATAGCTGTTAATTAATGTGTCTGCATTTTGTAGCATGTAGTTTTAGTATTTTTAAAGTTTTAAGTTAATAATATTAAGTGGTTTATTTTGATTGAAATATAATACATTCTTATTCAGAAAGATTCGGACGTGCAGAATACCAGGTAGACGAAAATTTGACATAGTTGAGCATATAAAAAAATGGAATTCATAATAAAAAATACAAATAAAGGAAAGAAGAAATTTCTAGTAAAAAAGTGTAAAAATATTCGTCTTGGTTATTATTTGCTGGAATAGTTTGCTAAATTCAGATCTTTTAAATACAGTCAAAAGTCTTTAATCCGGACTCGTCGGGACATCGGCGATTCCGGATTATTGGTTTTTCCGGATTATAGATCATAAACTTAAATCTGGTAAGATGGCATGTAGAAATTATAAAATTAAAAATATGAAACCGTAATTTATGAAATAAAGAGCAATTATGATCTAAAGGGTATCAAAATTTACAAAAAAAGAAGCGTAATATTTATTTGTTTGCTTTATTAAACATTTCTTTCAACGCGTGCATGCGTAAAGCATACATTATGCATAGTTGAAATGATTGAAATTAGAAAATTGCAATCAGAAAACTATTTGATGTGTATTCGTGATATTTATAATGACGAGGAATTTGATTTAAATCATATCAAAGACGGAGTACATCGAGATGAAATACTACATTTAGTAAGGAATTATAAGCCGAATAAAATAAAAACATCTGCCCTGAAGATAAGGATAGTGCTGACAGATCAACTTCCAGTTCATAGCACACCGTGTCGTCCCGCCCTCAGAGCAGCGTGAAATTAATAAACAGATTTTGGAATGGTTAGAGAAACAGAGAATATGCCTTTATCCATTTTTTTGCAACAATACCACTTTTTGTTTGATGGACACTGAAACATGCTTTTGCTTTGTAGATCCTTTGGCAACTCCAGAATTGGAAATTCTTTTTGACATAATCGAAAGTTCAAGCTTACTTTTATAAAATTGCTCTAACAGTCTGTAAAAAATAATAAGCCGGATCCAATTAGAAGATTTAAGGAACAACGCAATCTGCAACATTAACTGAAATAGATAATTTTAGCCTAGCTTAGATAATTTTAGCCTAGCTTATACTGTCCGTTATACATTAAACGCGCATTATGCATTATGCGTTTACGCATGTGTAGAATGTTTGTAGCTTTGAGGTCCAGATTATAGATCATTCTGGATTATGGATGTCCGTATTAAAGACTTTTGACTGTAGCACTTATGAGCAAAGAAGCATGATGTGCTGTGTGCCATATCTTTTTTTTTATGTATGTATTCTGATGTTCTTCATCTTCATTGTATAAATAATTATTTGTCCTTTAGCCGGGTATTCTCGTATATCTTATTGTTACAAATTTTGCATATACGAGGGTGTGGTGTTGTTGGCCGTGATCGTATAGTGGTGATTATCCCCGCCTGTCACGCGGGAGACCAAGGTTCGATTCCTCGCCGGGGACCAAGCTGACATTCTTTTGCATAAGATGGAGGAGAAAATATGTTCTTGTGCGAAGAAGGTTGCATTAACGAATATAAGAACTCCGGTAAACTTTACTGGAATTGATGCGAGCTAAAATTGTTCCTGTGCTGTGATTCAACGTATATATCCTGATAACTGTATTTTTCGAAGTGACGACCATGTGCGCCAAATTCAAGCCTATCTACAAGAAATCTTATCTCTTCCCTCGCGAATAATTGCACCACATATTAATTAAGCTTCTTGCAAGATGCTGATAAGTAATGTGCCATCGATGCGTCAGGATTAGGAATTGCAGTATACCGTAAGAAATTAACGCTGTGAGAGTCCCGTAGGACTAACGAGTAGGACATGCTGAAAGGCATTCATGAATGTGTTTTTTTTTTTTTTTTTTTTTTTTTTTTAACATATAGAATCTAGGCTAATCAAGAAAAGTGTGTTTTGTGATTTAATAAATGTATATTTAAGGGAGAAATACTCTCATGCATGCCTTATTGGGTAAGTCATTTTATTCTTATTATTAAAAATCATGCAATGTACTAACCACTAAATTTTTAGTTTAACTATTTACGTGGAATTAATTCGCATTTGATACTCTTAGTATAATTACTTTAATACGATCACGACCAACAACACCACATTTATGGTGCCGTGACCAGGATTATAATAATAAAGGCACATTAATGGTGCTGTGACCAGGATAATAATAATAAAGGCACCACTTAATGGTGCCATGACAAAAAAAAAAAAAAAAAAAAAAGAATTTAAGTTTTGACTGTTTGATTTCAGGTAGAGAACCATTTTATGCTTATAAAAATATAACTACACATGTGATTCCAGTATGAATATTATTGATAATTGCTTAAATATTTTGAATTTTGTGAATATGTCTGATATCAAATAGGTGAATATTAGTAGTGATTGGATAAAATTTTAAATTTTGTGATTATCTGATATTAATCATTAAGAAAGATTAAGTTGAAAATTGCATATGTAAAAAAAAAAAAAAAAAAAAAAAAAATGTAGAATTCCATATGACTATGTTTTCTGCTAATGTGGAATAATTTAATGATAAAAATAGATATGTGAAAATGGTAATATCAATTAAAAATTGGTCAGTATTCAAGAAATTATTCCTGAATGTATATCATATTGTGTGGTAATGAGTATGTAATAACTTGTATCCATGTGAAAAATTTCGATAAGTTACAATAGTGTATTTATGAATGTACTATATATTAGGAAGTAATAATAATAATAGTAATTTATAGTGGTACTAAAGGATAGTAAATTGATTTAGAATGGCTAAGAAAAATAATGTAATGAACATGAGTCTGGCTACTGCTCTGCCTACTTTTTCAGGGGAGCATGACGAAAATATAAACATTTTTTTAGATCAGTTATGCCAAATGGCAAAGTTTAGAGAACTGGAATGAGAACAGAAAAAGTTTGGTGTTAAAAATTCAATTGAGGGGTAAAGCATTAAAATTTGTAATTGATAATGAATCGTGTAAAGATATGTCATTTGATGATAATTTAAAAGCATTACTAAGTAAAAAATTTGCAAAATCTCAGTCATTTGACACAATTCAAAATAACTTTAACTCAAGTTAGACAGACCCCAGATCAGTCAGTCGAGGACTTAGCGGAAAAAGTGAATACTTATGCCACAAAATATTTTGGGTGCTATCCTAGTTCGAGTGAAGAGGTACATAACCTCACTCAAAAAGCAATGCTTTCAAAATTCTTAGAAGCTCTCAGACCAGATTTAAGACTGGAGGTTAAAAAACTAGGACCTGTGATTTTGCTACTGCTGTTAAACAGGCAAAGAACATAGAAAAAGCATTGGAGGATTCTGGTAATAGCTCACAGACACATGATTTTTCACCTGAATTAAATACATTAATTATGCAACAAATGCAAAATAATAGAGCCATTGAGGATTTGTCAAAAAAATTTAATGAAATTTTACCGTAATGGTAGTGTAAACAATGTAACTAGACTAGAAAATAATGCTACACAAGTAGTAGTAATAATAGAGAATCTTGTCATATTTGCCAACAGAATCATTGGACTACAGAGTGTCCTTATTTTCCTTCAAACAATAATTTTCAATATTATAGACAGGCTAGAAACAACCACAGAAGAAATTTTTATAGGGGTAACTTTATCAATAGAAGGAATAGATATAATAGTCAGTATGCTTTCACGCGAGGTAATAGACCTACAGAACAGTAATAGAAATAGGCCACAATACAGAAGATACAATACTCGTAGAAATAATTTAAACTAATGAAGGGTACTTGCAGATCTCCCAGATACACAAAGTATTACTCAAGTGCCCATAAAAAAATTTGGGGGAAACAAGACAAAATTAAGAAAATAAGAAGGAACACAAATAGGCCAAATACACATGAAAGATTCAGAACACAAAATTAAAGAAAGTAATGAACAAAAATTGGTAGCTTCTTGCCAGACTAATAGTATCACAGAATTACCAGTAATAGAAATCAAATTTGGCGACTTTGTGGTAGAAGCATTACTTGATATAGGTGCAAATTTAAGCTTGATACAGCCAGACACCTTGCAAGGTAATAAAAAAATTATACAAAGATTCATTACTTAAGCAGATCTGTAAGAATACATACACTAAATAATGCTACTATCCCATATTTATCTGCTGTAAACTTAAAATTTCGTTTAGGAAATAAATGGCTTGCCAACCAATTTTTTGTTACACAACATAATTGGAACACAAATTATCAAATGATTTTAGGGTATGATTTCATTCAAAAAAATAAGATACTTATAGATGCAGAAATAAAAAGTCAGTTAATCATTGATAACACATATTTTGATCTTCTGGACAAAAGAAAAAAAATTGTACTAACATTAATGCAAAAAGGTAGACAAGAATAGTAGACCAGATGAGTCAGGTATTGTAAGAGTAGTATTGAAATACCAGAATTGCGCCAAATACAGCAGAGATAGTAAAGTTAAGCATTTCCAATTAATATGCAGAAAGAAAAGCAAATAATGTTCTCACCAGACAGGCGAAAAAGTGGGCAAAGATAGGTATGACTGATTCAATTCATGAGATAAGTGACAGGCAATATATATTCACCATAATTGAAAAACCATTCCAATTCCACAATTATTCTAAGAAAGGGTGAAAAGATTGGTAAGGTATATAAAGTCGAAGAAAAACAATTTGAAAAACCTAGAGAGCAACAAAATTTGCAGATTAACCATATAACTTTAAAAGAAATAAAAAAATTAAGAAAGGAGGAATTAAGCCCAGATGATTTTGATTTAAGTCATTTAGAAGCAGAACAAAACAAAACAAAACAAAACAAAAACAAAAACAAACAAAAAAAAAAAAAAAAAAAAAAAAAAGATTGAAATGCTCATGAGAAATTCAGCTGTGTTTTCAAAATCTTACACCACTCTGGGTGAGACTAATGCTGTCGTGCCACAATTTAATTTATTACATAACTTTCCAATTCAAACTAGAAAATACACTATTCCTTGCATTGCTAAAAAATATGCCCAAGAGGAGATAACCAAATTGTTAGAAGCAGGTATTATAGAGCCATCGACATCGAGTTACAGTTTTCCAGTAATTTTTGTCAAAAAGAAAGCACCACCGTAATACTGATCCTAGCAAATTAAAATTTAGAATGGCAGTAGATTATAGATTGCTAAATTGCATAACTGAATCATATCAAATATGTCTACCTAAGATTTCAGATATTTTGCATAATATAGCAGGTAAAAGTTATTATTGTGTGCTAGATCTTAAGTCAGCATTTTTTCAAATAAAGTTAGATCAGAAAGATAAAGAAAAATTAGCCTTTTGCACGGAACTTGGCAATTTTCAACCAACTCGGTTACCTTTTGGTGCAAAAAAAAAATTCATCTGCTTATTTCCATACTCTAATATCAAAATGTTTAGGTGAATTGCAGGGTCCAAAATTTACAATATTTTCTAGATGACATAATTGTTGCAGCTAACAGTATAAATGAACTAGTAATTATTTTACAAAAGGTGTTTGACAAGTTAAAAAAATTTAATTTAACATTAGACCCAGCCAAATTGCAGTTATGTAAACAAGAGATTACGTATTTAGGTTTTTCGGTTAATAAGAATGGTTTTGCTCCTTCAGAGGAGAATATTCAGAAAGTAGCCAAATTTCCTAGGCCAAGAAATGTGAAAGAGGTTCAAACATTCATAGGCATGGTAAATTATTTTCGACACTTAATTTTTAATTATGCAGAAATTGTCAAGCCAATAGTAAATTTAACAAGAAAGAATATACCATTCGTGTGGAACGAGAGATGCCAAAATGCATTAGATTAAAATACAAGAATTAATTTTAGAAAAACCCACAATAAAAAACATAGAAAATGATAAACCTTTATATTTAGTAACAGATGCTTCTAGATCAGCCATTTGTGGCATATTAATGCGAAAAAAACTGATGAAAGTTTTTCCCAGTACAATTTTTAAAAAAAAAATTTTAACACCTGCTGAGGCTAGATTCCTTCAATTAGGAGAGAACTTTATGCAATCTTCAGATCAGTAAAGCAATTTCACGAAACATCTGTATGGAAAAAAAATTATAATATTAACTGATGCTAAACCTCTGACTTTCCATATTAGTCTTGACAAACAGCCAGATATTGTAGCACGTTGGTTGTTATATTTACAGGAATTTCAATACACGATGGAGCATATTCCTGGTTTAAAAAAACCCAGCAGACTACTTTTCAAGAGTTTCAGAGGATGTGTAGTGGTAAACAATGTAAATATATTTAAGACGAATGATAATTTGTCTATTCAAAACATAATTAGTAAACAGCAAAGTGATCCAGACATAAAATCAATTATAAAAAAAATTACAGGATAACCACAAAGAAAGTGTAGAACAATATTTTATTGATAGTCATACAGATGTAGTAATGATAAAATTAAAAACTGTAAATGTTAGAAAGAAAGACACAAAATATCCAGAATAAAATTCTAATTCCTAAGGCATTAATTAAAGATGTATTACAGACAGTTCATGTGCCTCATTTGGTATTCAAAAGACATATGAGTTGTAAAGGGCAAAGTATTATTGGAAAAGGTATGTACAGCGATACGAAAAGTTTTGTAGAAAATTGTTTCAGATGCTTACAAAATAAGTCTAGACCTAACAACGCTCTGCCACGTCTAATTTCCTAAGAAAGATCTTGCTCTGGAGAGATGATAGCTATAGACATAGTTGGGTAAACTGCCAAGATCCATAGATAATAAGTTTTATGTACTCACTATCATGATCATTATTCCAGATATTTGGAAACAGTTCCGTTAAACAACTGCACTTCTCAATCCATCATAAAATCTTTAAATGATTATTTTGCCAGATTTGGCATCCCAAAAATTTTGTTATCAGTCACTGGTTCCTATTTTCGTTCCACAGAATTTAATCAATTTTTAAAATCACTTAAAATAGAACACAGAAAAAGTTCAATTTATTATCCACAGTCCAATGGGTTGATTGAAAGAGTTCACAGGGTAATGAAAGAATCAATTGCAGCAATATCAAACAAAATATTTGAATGGCCACAAAAAGTACTGATGTTTAAACTGTTTTATAATAATGCTAAACATTCTGTAACTCAATTTTCACCAGCAGAACTATTTTTTGGTAGAACGTTAAATACTCCCATAGAATAGCAATGATCTCTCTTTAATTAGCAGAAGATTGCCAGGAATATTCCAAAAGACTAAAAGTAACAATTGAGTAGAGATAAGCAGAACAAGTAAAATTGAATGAGGTCGAATACTTTAATTGTGCAAAAAAATGTTTGAAAGGGAAGAAAAATTCCAGAATTAAAATTCAGGGGATAAAGTTTTTAATGTAAGGAATTTACTGATAGAAGGGTTTGCTACATCCAAAATACAAGGGACCAATATGAAGATTCATTAAAAAGCTACGAAATGATAATTATATAATACAATTAGATAATAAAACCTACTAAAGTTCATGTAAGTAAATTGTTTTTACAAAAGCCTTCAAGAATAGATTCCAACACAAAGATGAGGATTAGGAGTGAATAACACTATTGTAAATTGTAGATCAGAGAATTGAAAAAAAAAAAAAAAAAAAAAAGTTTTAAAGAAAGTTGTGATTATGATAAGAATGTAGTATGTGTACAAGCTAGATAATGAATGATGATTCATGTATGGTATGAGTTCAATTTAGTGTAATAAAGCGCTAATTGCACGATTTTTGGTAGAGTTGGCTGGTCCATATACCAGAAGAATTGGAATTGTACTATGCGGGGTCTCATTGATTACTAGGTAGCAGATTAAAAAAGAAAGAAAGAGTGTGGTGCTCAATCTCTCTTTGTCTTACTGCTGAATGAATCAAATTGAAGGTATGTAATTTAGTAGTGGATCTAATACAAATGTAGCTTGTAACAATGTCATGACATATTGGTATATGAAATGTATATGTGAAATGAATATGATCAAATGATAAAAGTAGCTATAAGTAATGAAATAGTGCATGTGATTCTAAAATGTAAAGAATGAGATAATGTAACAAAGGTAAACAATGGTTAAGAGGAGTAACATTAAATTGATAATGCAATATCATTAGTAGTTGATAAATTGATTTTATCACATGTGAGTTATAAATTATATATGTCAAAATTTCTTTTATGGAATCGCATCTGTGGTGATATTTTAGGTAAGAGTAGACATGCCTGAGTACGTAAAAGAATAATACTAATTTAAGAATCTAAAAAAATGTGTATCACAAAGTGTTTAAAGTGCTGTGTTTTTTTTCCCAAGCAATGTGAAAAATTAATGTGAATTATGTGTCTATAGTGCATACAAGAGCTCAACTGTGTGCATGTAATGTGAAATGTTTATATAGTGCCAACGAAATGATAAAGTGCAGTGCCTGTGCAAGTGATGTAAAGATTGGTGTGAAATGAGTAGGTAATGCAGACAAAATTTCAAGTGTATCCAACAGAGAGGGATTTCATTTGTCCACTGATCGGACAAATTTTTTTTTTCTTCGTCCGGAGCGAATGTGAGAACACAGAATTCTCACAGTGAACACGGTGGCTTTATCGATTCTTGAATCGTTATCGCTCCCTGCCACGTGCGTCGCAGTGGATAAAAATGGAAGGACTGGTTTTGTCTCATCTCTTTTTCTGCTTGTCGTCGTGTTAACGAGTATGTGGGCATTCGGGCCACACACACAGCTCGCGCCATCGTCTACTGTAAAACAACATGTAATCGAGCTGACATTCTTTTGCATAAGATGGAGTAGAAAATATGTTCTTGTACGAAGAAGAAGGTTGCATTAATGAAGCAAATAAGAACTCAGGTAAACTTTACTGGCATTTGATGCGCAAGGTAAAATTGTTCCTGTGCTGTGATTCAACGTGTATAATCCTGATAACTGGATTTTTCGAAGTGACGACCATGTGCGCCAAATTCAAGCCTATCTACAAGAAATCTTCTCTCTTCTCTCGCGAATAATTGCACCGCCTATTAATTAAGCTTCTTGCAAGATGCTGATAAGTAATGTGCCATCGATGCTTGTACAGGATTAGGAATTACAGTATACCAGTTAAGAAATGAACGCTGTGAGAGTCCCGTAGGACTAACGAGTAGGACATGCCGAAAGGCATTCATGAATGTTGTTTTTGTTTTTGTAACGTATATAATCTAGGCTAATCAAGAAAAGTGTGTTTTGTGATTTAATAAATGTATATTTAAAAGAGAGCTACTGACTCATGCATGCCTTATTGGGTAAGTCATTTTATTCTTATTATTAAAAATCATGCAATGTACTAATCACTAAATTTTTAGTTTAACTATTTACGTGGAATTAATTCGCATTTGATACTCTTAGTACAATTACTTTAATACGATCACGGCCAACAACACCACAGAGGGTAAGTTGAAAAATAAGTTTCCCCTATCGACTGTGGTCAGAGTTGTGTATGAAAGTCAAAAAATAGAATGAGACATTAAAGATATGACATACCTTTATTTTTCCTCATAGTACCAAGTACATTGAGACATTTGTCATATCGCTTGATAAGCTTCAAAAAAGCCCTCCAGGAAAAAATCAGGGCTTGCTTATGGAAGAAGCGTTTGAATGGCTTGTTTCACTTCAGTATTGCTTCCAAAGCGCCTTTCCCGAGATTTTTCTTCAAAGACGGAAACAGAGGAAGTTGCTTGGTGCGAGATCAGGATGTATGGCGGATGGTGTGGTCTCCCAACCAGAGTTGCAATATGGTTTTGCTGCCGTCGCCGGTGGTCTGGCATTGTCATAACAGCAGAACCGATGTGAAAGGCCGCTTTCCGATCTCCTAAATTTACAGGTGTCACGGCCATAGCATTGATGGTGCAATGATGCTAAGCAAGTTTTAAAGTTTAAAGAAATTAAACATTTAGCAGTGGTAGCAATGAAAGCTCCCTGAGTTATGTTGTGCAGACATTGAAGACAATAAAAGATTTTTGAACTTAACCAATTTATTAACAATATAATAAAAAATAAAAACACAAAAAATAAATGTCAACAATATTAGAGTATTAGGAAAAACACAACATAATCATCATTCATCAAATATTTTTACCTGTACTCCAAAACACTGGCATTCTATACAAACAAAAAAAGAAAATGTCCTAAACAGTGACTATGCGGCCTAAAAATAAAGCTGGCTACACATTTAATCAGTCCATAATCAATGGTCAAGAAAAACACCTGAAAATTTAAATGTGAAAACACTTAAAACCGGCCTAACTCCGTTTGCACAAGGAATCGTCGCCGCTCACGTATTTTTAATTCCGCCCTCATTGAAGAAACATGGACGCCACCCACGGCAGTCACTCACAGGATAGCCCCCGGAACCGAAGAACTTCAATCTGGAACCATCATCTCGCAAACCGGAATCAAGGCATTTTTTCACCGGACTGCATGCATCCTTTGAAGGGGCTGGAAACCGCTCACTCAACGTGCCGGGGGAAACCAGGAACTAGAAGGGTTGAGCCAGAGCGACGCGAGATACTTATAGCAGAAGTAGGAATGACGTCATCTCACGGCAACCAATCAGCTATCGGCACGAATCGGCTTTTCAGATGACGTAACATCATGTTTCGTTTTTGCATCTCAATTAGGTTGAAACAGTCCGTTCTCAATGCAAACAGTGGCAGCAAGAAAAAGAAGTAGAAGTAACTACTATATATTATATTAAAATAAGGACTAAACTAAATAAACATTTCAAGGAGGAGAGATGATGCAGTAAAAGGTTTAAAAATAAGCTATATTTTCCAACAAATGCCCCCCCCCACATCATCATCTCCGACCTGAAATAAAAACCGAATGCCAGTATCTTTACAAAATTCAAAACAAGAATAAATAAATATCACAATTTCATTCAGAAATTTTTAAGAAAATTTTTCTTTGGGAAAATCTTATCCCATTATTCAAAAATTTTACCGTAGCAAGAAAGTCCAACATGTTACAGAACAATACAAAGACATATATATGATCATACACTCAATACATTTACCCAGGGCCCTGGTCACTCATACAACATTCTACACTATACAATTTTACATTTACCTAATATCCATCATAATATGACTTATAAACATATTTTTCAAATTAATCAAAACTCTTAATTTAAATACACACAAAAACAAATTTCATAAGAAAATTGTTCCACAAAATTTTACCAGGTTATGCTTAGTCAGCGGTTTTGTCATGGGATCAGCCAGATTATCTTTACTTGGGACATATTTTAAATCAAAAATTTCCCTGTTCAATAGATCACGAATGAAAAATAGTTTCACATCTATATGTTTTGTCCTTGAGTTTTCAATGGGTGATTTTGTAAAACATATAGCAGCCATGTTATCAGCAAACAATATTGGCCTCGAAACATAGTTACTTGCAATTTTAAACTGAATGCATTCATCCAAAATGTTTTTAAACCAAACTAATTCTTTTGCTGATTCAGTCATGGAGATAAATTCAGCCTCCATAGTAGATAAACTCACTCCCCTTTCTTTAAATGTACGCCAAGATACAGGTGATTCTCCCAACAAAGCTATTTGTCCACCAATAGACACCATATCATCCCTGCTTGAAGCAAAATCCGAATCTGAATATATATTGAGCTTCAGTTCCTTGCATACCAGTTTGAGTTTGTGCTGTCTGGTATTGGAAACGTACCCTAAAAGTTTAAGTAATCCTTCCCAGTGAAACTTACCAGGATTGCTTTGGAACTGAGAAAATATATTAACAGCATAAGCTATATCCGGACGAGTACGATTGCAAAGAAACGAGAGACATCCCAAAACATTTCTATAAGGATAATTCATCATTTCAGTCGTTTCTTCTTGTGTACTGGGACTTTGAGACTTTGAGTATTTCACACCTTTAACTATTGGAAGGGAAGTAATTTGTATTTTAAAAGACTTAAATCGATCAACTATGTCTTCTATATATAATTGCTGATGAATTAAAACACTATTTTTTTCTCATATTCAAATTCCACACCCAGAAGCTTTCTTGTTTTACCTAAAATTTTCAAATCAAAATGTGAACTCAGGACTTTTAATATCCTTTTGGCCTGAACTTCACTTTTCCCAAACACAACTATATCATCAACATAAACCAACAGAATGACAAAATCTTTAAAACGATAGACACAATTACACCACTCAAACTTGATAAACCCTAGGTTACATAGTGTTCTATCCAACTCGTAGTACCATAATCGGCCACTCTGATGCAAACCATACAAGGCTCTATCTAAGCGACACACAAAAGTTTCCTTTATCTCGCTCCACAAAACCCTGAGGTTGGGACATGTAAATTTCCTCTGATAAAGGAGCGTAGAGATAGGCACTTTTCACGTCACATTGTATATTTGCCCATCCAAGGTGTGCAACTAAAAGGGAGAAAAAGAGCCTTATTACTGAAAAGTTGACTACAGGAGAGTAGGTTTCATCATAGGTATCGTATTTAATTTGCCGATAACCCTGAGCCACTAAACGAGCTTTAAAACGAACAATGTTTCCAAATTCGTCACGTTTAATGTTGAAAATCCACCTGCAACCTAGTGGAGTCTTGTCTTTAGGAAGTGGAACAAGATGCCATACCTTATGCTTTCGCATGTTGGCCATTTCCTCTTCCATTGCCTCTATCCATTTAAGCTTTTCTGCAGATTTCATTGCCTGGTTATAAGTGTTTGGAATTGAAACATCTAGTCAGCTATCTCGGGTATACGACGTTGAAGGAGTACCAGTTGGGTCGATTTCACCACTATAAGTATTGCTTCCCTTGAAATCAAACAAGGTAGGATCATACTGAATATTATGTTCAGTGCAATACCTTTCTACATCATTTGGTGATCGTAGTCTTTGATTAGACCCCCTCTCAAAATAATACACATCCGTACGAGTGCCGTCTGGCCTTGGAACAGGTTTACGAAGCCAAGTTACTTGTCTCAATGTAGATTGAGTGTCAGTGCCAATTGTAGAAGAAGGTACATTGGTATCGGTTCTTTCCTCTATTTCAGGAAAATAGCCAACTGGAGTATCAGTAGATTGGAACTCTACCCTTTCTTCAGATTCCAAATCAGGAAGGGTGCCCAGTGCAGCTCCACTGCCACTTTTCTGCATTCCAATCGACTCTTTAAAAGTAGCATTTAGGGTTTCTACTACCTTTTGCTCATTTTCCAACCAAATTTTGTACCCTTTTGTTCGTACACTGTACCCAATCAATCGGCCCTTTGTTGCCTTTGGATCAAGTTTAGAATTTCTTTTAGCCTTTGGAATTCCCACATAGGCAATCGTTCCAAATGCCTTAAGATGACGTACTGATGGTTTCCGCTTAGTGTATAATTCGAATGGGGTTCTATCTTGGCCCTTATGACAAATTCTATTAAATGAATATGCAAAATACATTACTGCATCTGACCAAAATTCGGAACTCATTCCACTATCGTGTAAGATTGCACGTACATTATTGAGAGCTGTCTGATTAAATCTCTCACAAACTCCATTCTGTTCTGGAGTATAGACATCTGTAAATTCGTGCTTTACACCATTTTTATTACAATATGACCTGAATTGATCATTATCATATTTCTCGCCCATTGTCAGTCCTAAAGTATTTCAAACTTAAGGTTCAAAGATCTTTCCGCACGTGCTATATGCCTTTCAAATACTTCAAACACCTGACTTTTCTCCACAATGGGGTACACTACCACGTAACGAGAATATTCGTCAATAAAGGAAACGAAATAACGTTCACCATTCCTACCTGGAATGTTAATAGGTCCCCATACATCAGAGAAAACCCTTTCAAGCGGTCTCTTTACTTGAATACCTTCTAAGGGTCTATAGGAGATTCGTCTTTGCTTATTGATTTGGCAATGTTCACAAAACAAATTAGGTGAGTGCTTTAACACAGGAAGACCTCGAACTGAATGTCTCTTACTAGTCCTGACAATAGTATCATAATTTATATGACCAAACCGACCATGCCATAATTCACTATTATTATGCTGAACTGTGGATGCCTCAAATTTTACAGATTTGCCCCCCTTTTTGATTATTTTCGGGAACACATGATAGTTACTTCCTATCAACTTAGCCTTGTACAAAGTTGAATTCTCATCATCAGTAACTTTAATTTGCCCATTTTTACCATAAAATCTTGCTCCATTGATATCCACCCTAGGTCCAGATATTAAATTTCGTCTCAGTTCAGGTGAATATAACACATCTTTAAGCAAAATAACCGTATCCCCAAATTTCATTTTAACAGTACCCTTCCCATGAATTGGAAAAGTTACCCCATCAATAGCTACTAGCATATTCTCATTTTTCACAGGAGAAAAAGTATCAAACAATTCACGATTTTTACAAAAATGATGAGATGCAGCCGTATCAAAAATCCAACTATCATCATTTTCTTCCAAATTGTTAACATTGGCTTGAGCTATAAAATGGGACTGTGCATGGGAATTATTTTTACTCTTACTCAACTTGGGTTTATTCTTACACTTAGAAGATGTTTTATTACTACTAGATACAGCTGAGGAAACAGAAGAAGCAGGTGAGGGTGATCTGGAAAAATTACCTCTCATTCTACAGTATTTTTGAATATGACCTGGACGGCCACATTTATAACACTTGAGCCCTTTAATCTGCTTAAATTTGGGTTCACAGTGAGTACTTTGTACTTCTATAGTCTTATTGGAGTTTTCCCTATCTATCTCTCTTAAATTAAGACGCGTTTCCTCTGCTAGAATTTCAA